GTTTCAATTAGTTTAATGTACATATACTGTGTTAAAAACACCGCCATCTACAGGCGCGCTGAGAACTTGAACTATCTTGTCAAATGTCACTATAACTTATAACCTTAAAATCGTTCTTAATAAATTAAAAATATTCTAGTATTTACTGACAGGAACGATCTTGAGCGAAATAGACTTTTTAGCAAAAGTAATAAAGTAGTATTTAATTACAAAATCTCAATAAGTAGTTATTATCGTACCACTGTGTATAAACGAATATAATCACTTATAATTATATAAAAATATACATTGTAAAGCAATTTTAAATGTTTATGATTTTTATTACCCAATAATTTCTCCGAAATACAAAACAGACCTCGTTTTAAACACAACTTTCAACATTTGCCAACATTTATTTAAAAAATTCCATTGTTTAATCTGTGTTCTTGTCTATTCGACTCCAGCTATTGTCTATGACACGTTAAATCACCAGAAGCTGCATTTAACATCTCATAAACATAATCACAGAGTGTTACTTTTCACTCATTACATATGCTACCGTGTACAGAACAAATAAATAATTATTCTTGACATAACCAGTTTCGATGAGCCCTCACACGGGAATGTAGACAAATAGTAATTTAAGCGTCAGAGGTCTTGTAGGCTGGTTGTATTAGCATTTTTTTAGTTGAAAAATATTCTAGTAGCCTATTTAAGCTTGTTTGTCAGTTTTTAAAGGGCTCCAAATGTGGATAATTAATCACTGTTACTCTTACGCGGTTTACGTAATTTACATATAGTGTTTCTTTGATATGTCTTATTTCTTATCATCATACATATTAACACAACAGGTTTTACATCCTATTAGATAAATAGTATTATCTCTATTCTATATTACTTCATTACTTAGTTTAAAATCCTAATTGAAACATAAATGTTGTTTTGATGGAATTATAGTTAAAGCGTGATTTTACATTTCGTATATCGGTATCGAATACTGATTGTTTGAAAGCCTGTTAAGAGAAGAAGATTCAAAGATATTTATAATATGACCTAACACATTGGTTATAATGCCAAAGTCCTCATTTCTTATTTCAAAAGAAATAAGCATTGGATTAAATATGAACAATTTGTTCATTTGTACCCTATTCTCTCTCTTTCTAGGATCATCACCTCCCGCTCTAACGCGCAGCTGTATGACGAATCACTTTGTCATTTTTGACAGATCTCCAATTGTTAATTTTCACCCTTCACAATTAACAAAGCTTGTATCAAATATTACAGTTGTGTTAACTTTGGTAATACAACTTATTGTATTGTTCTCTTAACGCGTATATGCAGCTTAAGCCACGTTAGAATAAATGTAACGAACGGAAAAGTTATTTATTTATAAGCAGTTTAGTTTTTTCGCTGAAAATAAAACAACTAACTAGGTATGTTGTTACGGAAATTACATTAGGATAAAATTTACTTATTTCAATAACAAACATCAAAAATAGAATTTTATATTTAAAATAGTACCTAATTATTACATTACTGTTAATATGTTACATTACATGCGTAAACGTGGACCTCCACTGGGTCATCAACACCCTATACTGTGTTTAATTTTCTTTGTATTATTCAGCTTTCTGTTTATTATGTGTAAGAACTTTTAATTTATTCAGTTAATAAGCTAGAGCTGTATAAAATGACTTGAAGTCATGCTACAAGCGCTGCTTTCCGAAAAAGTCTTATCGTGCTATTAAGTCGACATAAAACAATAGTTATTTGTAAGTTACTCGTATGTAACGGACGTAATACGCAGCGAAAAATCATAAAGATTTTCTACATCTTCAAGCAACGATATGAGCGTCAACGTAAGTGTACGATCGATTGTAAATAATAGAAACCCGACGTGAACCAGAATGGCTTTCTAATATTCATTAACAATTTCACGTTCACGCTATACCAATTTCCCTCCAAAACGGACCAATCATATTTCGAGGAAAACTCTATAGGTATCTGTGGACCCGCCCTTCAGTCCCTGCTAATGTAATATTTAGGCGGCCAGATACAATGCCAACATTCAGAATTTAATAAACTGCCATAGACTATGAATTATTAAGACCAATTTTACGATTACATTTGCTAAGAGCCCAATAGTGGGGCTGATACGTGACGAGATTACACGAATGACCGATGGGAAAAAGCTTAATATTTTATTGCCCCGAGTTTTCAATTTTGCGAGTGAATTATTGATTACCCTCGAGAATATCGGGATAAACGTTTCAGCTATCAAAAATGTATTAAAAGTTAACTAAAACGTCTCGTTTGGGATCACTTCTTAAGTGTTTCTGTGAGTACATTTATTATAGTATAGTCTGTATTGTTGCGTTTTAACGTTTTATTTTGATATATTTAGTTAGTTACACATATCAATATAAATCTACATACAATTTCAAAAACTTTTACTTTTAGTCGTTTTACAATTTTCAAAAATCAAAGTGACATTTAGTATTGCGATGTAATTTTAAATTTAACAATTAAATTAAGTGAATTCAAAGCTTAGAATTAGTGTAACAATCAATAAGCCAAACAAAGCCAACTGGACAAGCGTGAAACGGAATTGATTAAGAATTTCGTTCCGTCACATTTTGTCGCGTGACGGTCATCGGATTGATTTTCTGAGGAAAACGCAGTTGCTATGGCTGGTTTTAGGATGGGTAAAATTAGAATATAGAATATAAAGCCTTAATATTACTATGTACCACAGAACTGACAACTGAAAAATTCATCGTTCTGTGGTAAAAAATCGAGGTTAGCTTATAGAGCTATATAATTAGCGATTAGATGCTCCTCACTTTAAGGGTACGTGACCAATGTCGGCATACTGCAGAATAAGCAATAGAATCATACGAAATAACGATTATTGTGTTACGCCCCGGTGGGGTCGCTAAATAAAATTACCGCTCCTTCAAGCTGTACGCTTCAATTTACTTCATAACTTTCTGACATTAAGGCTGTTTATTCACGAGTATCTGACTACTTATAGACGCAGCACAAAAATACGAAAAAGTATTTGTAATTAAAACTAAAAGAAAAAGGGCATTTAGTTTGCTTTGCGTCGCATGAAATTTAAAGATTCTTAAAAAGTATTTAAAGATATTTTATTAATGGTTAGTAAATTACGAGTTCTATATTGATTACTAACCTGACCTTAACAACTATGATGTCAACCATTTGAGTCGTAATAACTAAGCTTTGTACTTTGTGTTTAAAAAAGTGAGTTTTGATGAGAACATATTTTCATTTTAAGCGTTTTCTTAACTGAAAACGTATTGTAGGGTAAACCACTTAGTTACGTTATGCTTAAGTTTGTCAAATCTGTTGTGTCGTCCTGGGATAACATGTTTTTTTCCATCCACTCTTGGTACTACTTGCTTTTGGTGGATACCATCACAGATTATATATTATGTTATATTTTTAATGTTCCTTCATTCTTTACATACTTAAATTATTCGTGTATAATAAACTTTATTATTATTTAAACACATCACGATGGTGGCCGCCGTTCACAAATGCGAGTTGAATTATGCTGACACTCATCCGGGTTGCCACTAGGATTTCGATGAGAATATATCTACAAGAGCCTAGTTTATTTACGTAATACCACGGTGGTTATTCTCAAACAGTGATATACTTACGCCAACCTTTATCACTAGGTTAGCTTCTAGTAATCAATTGGTAAAATTGTTTCATCAGTCCCCGAATAATAATTTACCTAAAAGCTATATAAAATCTCTGCAAGCACGTAATCCGATAATCGAGCACAGACAATAAATGTCAAAAACAAGTTATGGTTAATTCCACAGACAAAAAATCGAAATTACCAACCAGTCTCGCATCCGAATTTCATCGCATAATTGAATATAATTGAAAAACGTAATTATGGCGCGCACGTCAGTTAATTAATAATAAATTCGCAAATAATCACCCCTCCCCTCTCCCCGAGGACGGGATGATTGAATTATAGGGAAATTTTGAATTTTGAATAATTCACGCGGGAAAGTTAGCCCTTTTGAGCGGTATGGCGGAGTGACGTTCCGTTTTTAGATTTGAATTTTTAATTAGTTTGACTTTTGAGTGTACCTACGTCGTGTTAATCGTTTTATATTGTTCCGGGGGTAGAAGTTAATATTTGTGCATAGTTGTGTGGACGTATTTAAAAGTATTTTCTGGTATATTCATTAATAGTTTCGAAACTTGTTATAATCATTGTTAGGTTTTGATTAACTTTTCGAGCAGGATGACTTTTATGTAAATTATATTCATGATATAACAATATCCGATATCATGGCAACCCGATAGCTGTTATAAAATGAAAAATAATTTACGCTGGTGAATTTTAATAAACAAAAGGCCGAGAGAAACGAATTTCCCATTATGTAGGTGCAGATCATTGTACTGCCTCACCAAAATTCAATTTCGTTCATTTCGCCATGTTCGCGCCGACAGAGCCGTGCGACAAACCAAACAATTACACAAACGTGCGTTGAAAGCATAATTTTCCACGAAAAAACTATGTGTGAAATGTGGAGAAAAACATTCAACGTTTTGTTAGTTTTTCGCGCGCGGTGGGCCACTTTTGACATCTGTCAAACGTGAATGAATCCTTTGACAGGTATATTGACGAAAAAAACAAGAGACGGTATCTCTTAATACCATTGGTCAAAAAACAAAATAACAATAATAATTTATACTATAACGCCTTGTCATTCTTCATTGGACACACGACGTTGGCAGAATCCATACACAATGGGATAGCCATCAAATTAAGAAGAAGAGTAAAAAGAAGAAGGAGAAGAGACTGTGTCGTATAATCACGCGTACACGAATTATCAGGGATACACTATGAATATGAATGCGGTAATCAATTGGAGATGTTGCTGATACACGCATGACAATTTGGCCGCCTCATTTCAATACCTATTGTGATGACGTTGGGACAGTGTCATAACTACGCATTGAACGCTCATCCGTCATTTCCGAATGCAAGACACGCGACAATCGATCGAGATCCGAAACGTAACATGTTGAAGTGTCGAGTGATCCCAATTCTGGTGACTGATTTCCGAATGAAAGAAAGGTTTCAAAAAACTTCCTTTGTGGGAGAAGGTGACACGAGATAGTGATGTGACGATGTGCGCCTGTCGTTCTTGAATTGCCTCTTGACGGGTGTTGACGTGTGTAGGATCTAGATTGCAGACATGTTAATTGTTGGTTACCGTCGGTTGCGTGGGAGCACGTCATATTGACAGCGTTTCATTAAAAACTCGTCATTCAACCCTTGACCTTTATGTCTGTCAGGTTTTCAGCAATAATACATTGTGTAAGAATCGCTACATTATTTTGGGTTTAAATTATACTTTTATTTCCGTTCTTTATGTTGTAATTAACTGCGCGTTTAATTAATAAATTGTATTTAATATTATTTAATAAAATATTAGCCGTTTTAAAGTTAAGTGAAGGTAAGCGGATTTACAAAGCACCAAGCAACTACAAAGAAAACAAAAACTTACTTGCATTTTCACCAAAATATACAAAAATAGGACAGGAGGTTAGGTTACGTTAAAAATACAAACAGCAGCAACTTTCGAGTACAACAAGTAACTGGTAACATTTATTTATAGACAATTAGGTTATTCTCAAATTTTCTTTGATATTACCCTATAAATAAATGATATCAGGGGATAAGAAGTGTCGAAGAGCTCACCTGGATCAGTCGCATCGAGGGTCTGAGGCGTGGGCTGACTTAGAGGTCCAGGGGTACCACCGGAGCCCGGCGAGCGCACGTCGTCGTTCACCGCACCGTAGGACAGCGACGACGAAGGCGGTCTCTGTTGACAACAACTCGAAGTTATGACGGCCTGGTACTTCCTTTAACGCCTTCGTGTTTCTAATATTACTACTTTGCAAGACAGCCTACTTTTGTTTAGCAAAGAAAAATGCTGCTGTTAGTAAAGACTGGGGAATAACCAAGACATGGAAAACAACAGATTGATAGGGTTCATGCTTATGTGTAAATGTGCTTTCTTGAGTGTCTTATTACTTACAGATGAAGAAAAAGAGAAAATAGAAAAGGAGACGATTATTGGTTAAGCATTCTATACATTTCGTTTATACATTTTAAATAATAAAATTGCTATGGTATGAATTTGACCGTAACAATGCTTGGCCCATTACTCTGCGCAGGTGCCCGTAATGCCCGTAATGGCGAGCTGGCGTGCGCAAGCGCATCATTAACCGCGCATGTTGCTAGTTGCGAAATGTTTATTGTTGTTGTACGTTGTACCTATTTTCGTTACTAGTCACACCGTCCTCTGTATGCACAATCTATATATTACATAATATGTACGTATAACATAGGTATACATAGTAAAGTAAGTTTTATATACATGCATTTATAATAAGAATTTCCAAATATAAATGTCTACAGATAGAATTACTTAGATAATGCTTATGTTTGATAATTCGACTCTCATAGTTATATTTCATTTCACATTAAACACTCCATTTAATTGCTATTCATGCTAGATTTTAATTGTCTGCATCACTAACGATCATTAGGTGTTCAATTACGAAAGGAGATTGTTTTAATTTAAAATAATGGCACCTCCAGCTTAATTGAATATCGTAAAGATTACGCCTCGAGCCGATTTTAAGTGTCTTGTAAAAATCCGTGTTGTAATCTGTGGTGAAACCATAGATAATATACAGATTTAAATCCGGTGTAACACCAGCTGAAATTCCATTCAAAAATAGAACGCGTATAACCAACTGGCAATTTCAATAATCATTACAGAAAGCAAACAGGCGGCGAATTTGAATTTGTATTTAGAACAGATGTCCGCCGCGCCACTTTCAATTACACCGATCAAAAACTGACGCTGTTCAGGTCTATTCCCTAATTTGAATATCAAACATGTGTTCCGGAGGTTTAACTAGAGTTTCACGCTGTAAAGAGATTCGCCATTTGAGGATTTGCTACGATCAACTTTGACAGACATCTTTCATAGCTTACATACCCACTGAGAGCAAAACAAACTAAATTTTAGCGTTTTTAAATTAGTTTTTAACTGAAAAAACACGAGATTATCAACTACGAAACTGGCCGTTTTAAGTCAGATCAATTAGACATAGAATTGTATAGTTATAACAACTTTACTGTCTCCATGACTAGAACACTAGCAACAAACAGATGTTTAAAATTAATTAGAAAATAAACGCGTCTATAATATTACTTGTTTCTAAGTACCATCTATTCTAGCCATCGCCTAAAATAAAAGCAAATTGTCCTTTTGACAGGAAGCCCGCTCGCTAATGCGCTCAGTTCACACCATATGTGAGAATCGGAATGACTTACTTATTATCGTTTGAATTTTGTTTATCCACATGTTAGGCCCTCTTTAGACACGTTATCAACTTCAATATCTAGTAAAAATAAAAAAGGAACCTCCATCCTATTCTTTAATTGTTCAGTTGATATTCAGTAGAAACGTTTTATGTACCTACTAAATAATTAGAGGACGGGAATTTTTAGTGTGTACACTTTTTATTAAGTTGATTTTGTTTATTTAACATGAAAATCAACAGAGCGATCTCTTAATAAATATTTAAACAATTTTCGTTGCGCATTTTGCTATTATTTCAATGTATCGTGTTATCGGCTAGCCTTTGTCAATTTTGTGTCGTTAGCAAAAACTGTCAGTCAGAGATCGAACACCTTTGTAATTATTTTTCGATATGAAAACACGCGATGCGTTTATTTTGTCTAGTTTATTGTAATTTATGATTATTTAATTCAAAAACTATTAAACGAGTGCAGGTGGTCAACGATGGTAGTTTTGATATCGTTAGTGACTTATTTACATAGTTTAGTCTTTAATGTTATTAAAATCTTCGTTTCCACAATAAGGTACGCTATTTACCTTTGTTCTTAGGACATACTGGCTTTTAAAAGTAAACATGTTTTATGCAAAGATATAAAAACGTCTTTAGGACTGATACATAGGAGTGGTATTAATAAGACAATACATTTTTTTACTTTTATCAGTCTTTGTTTGTGTTTGAGTCTTGATCTAAATTATACTATCGTTAAAATATTCGATTCTAAAACCAGATGAGAATCTGTTAGATGTGTTCATATTATGTTTTTGCATGACATACCTACAACATCGATTCTCGGAAAAGGCGTGTCGCGTTTGGGTGAACTTTTTTGTTACTGATCTCTGTGAGAACGACATAGTGTGGTTTAAGAGAATCGATACTATTAATTATTTGATAATCATTTAATTTGGTAAGTCTTTGTAGCATAAGAGAAAGTTTTATGTTTATTGCTGATATTTTTATTCCTTTACTAACTTTGTAGTATTTGCCTTACCTGTCAATAAAAATGTGACGCATAAGTAGTCATTAAAAAAAACCTATAATAAAAAAATTATCATAAGTAAATCAATATTTGTACATTTAAAATGAGAAACTAAAAAGTCTATGTGCCTTCACTTTTTCTACGTTAAATGATCCATGCTTATATTACATTGTAAGTGAAAATTTTTAGTCTGTAACAGAATATTGCAAGTTAATTTTCATTACATGGGGTTGCCATTACATCACGCGACGCGGCGCGTGCGCCGGATCGGATTTCGTGGGAATTCGCCAAACTGGGAGTTGCTCTCACAAAAACCGTAATGTCACTTTATCAAACATAGTTTTAGGTGCGCGCTTGGTTTAAAGATAATTAATTATTCAACTAAAAACACGAAATAATGATCAACGTTTAGACGATACCGTATAAGTCGAAAGGTAGATATGGATCTTAGATGATGGTTACAGATATGTTTGCCACAAGAAAGATTCGAACCTGCTTTACTGGTTGCCGAAACGATATTGTACCAATTGATTCACCTAATTATACCAACAAACAACCAAAATACCAATTTTTGCATGTGTATATGTATTTGTGCATATAATTTAGTTTATTTTATTGTTATGTGGATCTCAATGTTTCTGCTATTAATCGTTAAATGTTAGCTTAGAATTCATACGAAAATTGTGATTATGCGATACCATCAGCAACTGTACCAAAACAAAACATTTGAAGACTGTAAATTGTAAGATAATTTCAATTCTTATTAGTGAAATACACTCTTTAATCCGGCCCAGTCCGTCAAACATTTGGCATCGCGCACATTTGGCAAAAACCGCAGAGTGTCTTGAAAAACAAAGCGCTCTATATTAAGATGCATGGGCTCTCACCATGACAATAGTGGACCCGTTTTCGACGATTAATGGTAATGGAAAAGTTAGGTACCCCCTCCCTTCTAGCCCCGACGTTTACCCCCGGGACTGGCCAGTCTTGGACGCCATTTATCGCAACATCTATTTGTGCCAATTTGCTCGTCTGAAACGGTTATTTTTGTTAAGAAATTCTTATGTTTGGCAAGTTTGTCGCGTTTTAAATGACTTTAATTTAACAAGAATCAGATTTGCGGTTATATGTTGCCTGATAGATATTTCTAGATTATGTTAGTGTCCGTTTTGTCAAGGTAACCCAAAAACATATTTTAAAAGGCTAAGATGATATATACACCTGAAGTTACATTCATATTTTCTTAAAGCTTCTTACTAACTCAAATATTGTTATAAGTATTATTTGTTTTATATAACTAAATAGATTTGTATTTGTTAATATAATGAAAAGTAACCATTTTGCGGCGGTGTCTTGCGAGATTCAGAGCGTGGGTTTGATTCCGAGTCGCATAAAAAACTATTTAAGATATTCAAAATAAGTAAGTACATAGTTATATGTAACATCAAAATCTTTTTGTTTTGTATGTCAATAGACACAAAACTGCATTAGGTGCAACCCTGCGAAGGCCTCACAATATGGTGTTATAAATAAATGTTTTGAGAGCTTCTCATATTTTTCACTATGTGTTTTTAAAAAGACGGGCCCGTCTTTAAAAATAGCCGCGGATGCTCTAACGCCTAAAAAAAGTCTATTAAAAATTTGAATTACCATTGTAGAATGTTAAATGCTTGCAAAAAGGTACTGAATACTAGTAACGTATTTCTAAGGCCCGATATACACCGACGTTTATAAGCAGCGTTTCTACTTATAATTAATAATAATATAGATCTAAGTTTCTAAATATATTTTATGTTTTTTTCTTTTGACTCGAAATTTTGAATGTTATAATTTGAAAGAAGAATAATTTAAATTCACTTGTCTTAAGTTTAAAGTTATGTTTTTTCGTCTAAATTTATTTAATAAAATTGTAGTGTTTGGTAGAAGTATATCTTGTTCATAATATGCATGACTTGTAGATGAATTTTTGAATAGTTAAAAGTTGAATCGTGAAAAAACGCTCGTTTGTAACTACCACGTTTATAAAGCTCTTATTTATAGAGGCAAATCACGCGGCGCTATTTCCGCCAGCCAACAATTAGCCGATGTGTGATGAATTAGTGTTACCAGTTGTGATTATATAATTTATGTGAGTGGCAATAAATATTAATTTAAAGTAATCGTTCATGCAAGTGCTTGAAGATTTATTTGTCCGCTATACAAGATTACGATAAGAACGCGACGCTTTCAAAAATTAGAGCATTTTAACTCGAGTATTGATAGAGCGGTTTGTTTTATTTATGTAGTGATAACAAGTTTTGCAATAAGCAAATTTGAGCAATTTTTTCATGATATAATACTTTTTTTATGTATTTCTTTGTTTTCCTAATAATAATAATAATGTTTCCTTAACAGCCTTCGATCCTATCAGCTGTAGTAAGCAAGTTTACTTTAAAAGAGCTCCCATTTACGATAGTTCAATACACAATAAGGGTTTTGTTTAAACAAATGAACAA